AATTTTGTAGAAGCGTAATTTGAATAAAACAATGGACGGTGGTTAATACGTGAAATGTCAAACGTTTTTTTGACAGATGATGTTCAATTACATTTAATAGGATGTTTTACATGAATATTATTTAATTATGATCAAATTGTGGTAAGTAGTTTTGTTTGTAGTTTATTTATATACAAAAACGTTAGTAAATGGGCCGCAAGTGTTACTAGAAACTAAATATCAACTTTTTTGAAATGTTAATATGAAAATGCACTTTTTGGCATATTTTTCTCAAACACGGTCTCTGAAAGATCTCATTTGTATAATTACATACTCATTGGTATTTATAAAACATTTTCTAGGATATATTATTTTTTAATTATGTTATTTCAATTCAGAACCTAAATTTGGCATCGATCAAAGGGATATTTTGTCGAATAGCATTTTCCCATTTGTAATTTCCTAGAATTTACCGAAGAATAGATAGTAATATATGAAGGTCCAGGGTTGAAAAATTCTTCCATCGACGTGTCAAAAACCAGTAAGGTTAAGCATTGTTTAACAACAATATTTGAAAGTAGAGGGAAAAAGATGTATAACCAGCTGTAACCTTGATTCTTATGACTTTAATAATAGTAATCTTTGAAAATCCATAACGAAAGTATTTCCTTTTGTTGTTAGTTTTTTGGGTTGTGAGCTCTGTGATTTAGTTCACGAGACCACAATATAAGTATACGCTATTTAATTGTTTTATAATAAACTATACGCTATTTAATTGTTTTATAAAACGTAATGTTAATTTTGAGTGAGATTTAAGAGTTTTCTTTACATAACCAATTTAAAAACTTACATCTTTGTGGGTCAAAAATGAACCACAGAACATTGACCATGGCTAAATACTAAAAAGACTTGGATTGAATTATACTATATTTTTATAGAAAGTGTATAAAGCTTCCAGTTTGATTGTATTAACAAAATATGGACAAACGAATATTGTTATTATAAATTATATAATTCATTATTATACAAGTAGACTTTGGGGTTTATTGTTTTTATAATACCTCATTGTATATAACATTCAAACAAACGACATATTCTTATACACTTAAAGCATTAATATTTTTGATTCTCTAGAAATTGTTTAGAATATACCTTAATTAGCAAAACAACGTTTGCCGGGTCAGCTAGTATAAATATAAATATAAATAAATATAAATATACTACTATTACTATTACCACTTACTTTCTTTCTGCATCTGCTGCTCCTGCTCCTTCCTTTCCCTCTGTTCCCGGGCGTGAGCGCCGGCGCACTTCTTGCACGAGGGGCAGCCCGTGCGGCAGAATTCCCGGGCGCAATTTGCTGTGATGCATGATGTGCGGTAAAGAGTTGCCGTCTTCGTCCTCGCCTTGGCCGAGAGAGCGTTCGGGATCGTCGAAAGTAAGTACTGAACGGTGAATAAGGCGGGCCGACAACGTACATGACGATGATGATGATGGTAAGGGGATTTGTAAGTGATCAAGGGATACAGTAATAGATGGTAAGGCAAGATCAGAACTTTCTCCAAGAATTATCAATTTTTCTCATTTTACTCATGCTTGGTAACTTCTCCAAAATTAGTTCCCTTGATCACTTTTTTCAGGACAAATATCAGGATAAATTAAGCAAATGCAAGTTAAATTCATTGTGCCAAAATGAAAACTTGAAAACGTTCGGGATCGTCGAAAGTAAGTACTGAACGTTGAATAAGGCGGGCCGACAACGTACATGACGATGGTGATGGTAAGAGGATTGGTAAGAGGTAAATGATCAAGGGAAACAGTAAAAGATCAAAGGCAAGGTCAGAACTTGAAGATGTACCAATGAGGTAGTAAATGACTAGCAGAGATTTGGAATCGTTCAAGTATTACGTAAGCAGATTTCCTACAATCATTTACACCCCCCCCCCTCCCCTAGTCAGCAAAAGTTAAGCAAATTTCTTACCCAAAATGCTCAAAATAAGCAAATCAATAACCACCCCGCCCCCCCTATAGTGCTTACGTAATACTTGAACGGCCCCTTTGGTTTTATCCAAGAATTATCAAAGTAAGTCAGTATGTCGAACAGATCGTAAAAACAAATCATTGGAATTAGGGAATGCAATACTGGTATACCGAATTACCGGTAAACCACCCGATTTTTTG